ATGCTGTTGGCAGGGGCCATCTCTGTGGGGGGCTTGAAATCATGGTTTAAAGTGACCCTGCCGTGGCCCCACCACCAGCTACCCCCACAGGGAAGAAGCCAGGGCGAGGCAGGCCGGAAGAGCCCGTCACTGTGAGCAGGGGACGCTCAGAGGACTCTGCACTGACCACTGTGGCCCGGAGTGTCAGAGCCATCACAGTGAGATCGGAAGGCCTCACCGCGATGCTCTCAGAGGCTGTGGGTAATTCCAGGCCAGGCGCTTTTGAAAGATGATTTTTTTCTTTTTTCCCCTAGGAACAGCAGGTTTGGGAAATCTAAGGATTATATAAAGTAGTTAAAAGCTTGAGTTCTGAGCTCAGGAAGAACTGGATTTAAAATGCAGTCCTGCCTTGTACTCCTTGTCATCTAAACTGCCGAGTAAATTGTGTCTCTCTGTGGGACTCAGTTTTCTCAGCTATAAAATGGGATGACTTTTGCCATGAGGCCATTGTCAAGATCAAGTGTGAAGGAGACGTAGATGACAGTGACCTTACCAGTAAGAATGAGGCCAAATCCCATCGGTCCCTCGGCAGCACGGGTAGGGGATTTGAAGGCCAGGGGGAAGGGTGCAGGGGCCAGGACATCGGACTGGAGATGGGAGATGGAAGGGTGACCGGGGACAGTCCCCGCAACTCCAGAGAGTCCAACCCCTTCCTTTTGGGCCTCGGTTTTCTCATTTGTTAGATGAAATCACTTTCTGCTTTGAAATTAAATCAAATGATATCTACTGCTTTAAAAATGGTTTACAGGGCTGGGAACAGAGCTCAGGGGCATAAGAGCCTGGCTGGCAGGCGCCAAGTCCTGAGTTCAATTCCAGTAAAAATAAATAATAATAATAATAAACAAATAAAAATGGTTGTGCAGCTTTGAGTCCTGGATGCATGCTATTATTACAACTGGTACGGTTATTCAGAGCTATGAAACTTCTACCCAGGCCTTAGGTCCTTAGTGTTTTCTCCACGTTGGAGCCGCTGTAAACACGCATGTTGGAGCACAAAGATCTCGAGGTGGGTTGTTATTAAACGTCTGACTGGAAGTGAGCTCAGGGAAGCAGTGTGTGGGCATTTGTGGGGGGATGCGGGGACACACACTCAGGCTCTGCTGGTGCCAGGCAGCTCCAAGGGTTCAGTGCGTCAGCTTCTCCCAGAGCTTCTGATCCTGGACAACCCTATGTGAGCCGGAGGAGCTGCCCAGAAGAGGAGCACAGACTCCCCAAGGGCTGGACCCTCCAGTGGAGTCCAGCACACGGGGAGTGACCTCGTGGCCCAATCAGAGTGAGGTCGGCCCAGAAGGGAAGCGCGTCTGTAGCTAAAATCCAGTTTATGGCTTGTCTTATTCTAACAGCTGGGCTATTGGTTCTTTGAGTAGACTGGGCCAGGCACAGTCAACAGCCAATTTGAAGGCAGGCAACCTGCTGAGCAGAATTCTCTTTTCTAGAAAATTTGGCTCCATCTAAATAATGAATCAATCCAAGGGAAGAATCTTAAAAACCATAGAAAGCCAAATTGTAGATACTGTGTATTAACCTTGAAAAGAACCCACATCAGAATAGAGGAGCTTTCCAATAAAATCTGTATTTCTTTACCAGCTAACGGGTTTGACTAGCTGTGCTTTAGGAAAATAAGTGGATCCCACTGTAAAGAACGCTTAGCCTTGAGAACTAGTCTCTCGCTCCACTTAGAAAATCAACAACATGCATTTTGAATATGATACTAAAACTACACATAGGAAAATTGTATCAACATAAACAAAGACTTCCTTTAACCCCCAAACCCAAAAAGAACCATGAGAAAGGTCTTGTGGTCTTCTTGTGTGCATTCGTATGTTGGTATGAATGAAATGGGACTAGAATCTCAGCTGATTTTTTTAAATGGCTATGAAAAACATTCTGACCTATTTTTGAAAATCAAAGAGTTCTGAGGAATGAAACTACTCCAGACACAGGGAGGCAATGACTGTGTCAAGGGCTCAGAAAATGCCACCCCAAAGGACTGGGGACCTGCGGAGGAGACAGCCCCCGAAGCAAGGTCGAGCTGCCCCTGCCCTGCCTTCCTGGTTAGAGCTGGGTAGAGGGCAGAGAAACTCTTTGACCTGCACTGTTGGGAAAAAGGCCTGAAGGTCCCAGCAAGGTCCTTCCTTTACCCAGGGCTGAAATCCACCTGAAAAATAAGGATCCGGACAGGCAGCCTCGCTGGCCCCTCGGGCCGTCTGCTACCATCCTGTCAAACCCCTTTCCCCAGACACATTTCTACACAGCTGTCTAATTTTCCTAAGTCCCAAGCATAAAATACAGCAGACACTTTCCCTTGGGTCTTCAGACGCTAATTTCCAAAGCTCCAAGACACAGACAGCGTTAAGTAAACATAGGACACTGTCCTTATTAATCTGTGTTTTTGACAGGAATGGTGGCCGCGACGTTTATGATGGGGGAGGAATACGTCTGTCTGTCCTGTGCCTGAGATGCTGCAATTCATCATCTGTAGTTTAAAAAGCATTATCTTCTTTTCGGAAGTCCTTTGTCTTCCGTCTGGACTTGTGCGGGGCCACAGCAGGTTACATCAAAGCTGGGGGTGTCTGAAGACACACAAAGGACACAAGCCTGTCAGGGCACAGGTGCAGAGTGGGGTATGCTTCTGCAGCCATGACGCAGCGCAGGCCACCGTGCAGGAATGTCACTGTGTGGTAAGGACATGTACGAGGGTTCGCCCAAAAGGACACAGGCTGCTCTGGCCCTGCCCTGCCGCCCGATGCTGCTGTGCTCTGATGAGTGCCTCTGCCACTTCCTCTGGGGACCTCACGAGTCAAACTACCCTGTCTGCCCCCTTGACCCTCGCATGCCTATTTTTATATTTTTCGGGGTTTTTTCCCTAAAGCTTCTCGTTTTTACCATAGCTGAAACCACTTCAGTATGTCCTGTACATCTTTCTTGTGCTCTCATTTTTCCAAAGAGACCTCAAAGTACACGCATCCTCATTAACCATAAAAGTCCTCGTTTAAGTCAGGGAAAGTTAGTGCAGACAATGCTATGCAGCCGAAGACGGGAGGGACTGGATTTTCCAGTGAGAATCCAGGACTGTAATTACAACTGAGTGGATAAAAAGACACTACAAAGATCTTCTGTAGGTCAGTAATGTTAAAATAAGTCTGCCCTTTCCTTGCGTAAGGTCCAAGGATCTGGTTTCTATCAAAGTGGCCGTGTGGTCTGGGACAGGGAAACTGATGTTATCCCATGAGTCATAAGCTGTTACGTGCTCGGAGGTTCACATGTCATGTTGTGTAAAACCTGGGCAGGAACCAGGAACATGTATATATACGCAGCAATCCAAGCTGTGTTTTTCAGCTTTCCCATTGCTGGGATGCAATACCTGGCACCCACAGCTTAAGGGAGGAGAGGTTTAATTTGACTCAGTTCATGAGAGTCAGTCCATGGCCTCTAGCTCCACCTCAGAACCATTATGGCGAAGGTCATGGAGCGGGAAGCTGCTCACCCGTGGAGGAAGCCAGGACACAGAGTGATGCGGAGGGCCAGAGAAGGAGATGCACCCTCCAAAACACAGCCACAGTGACACCCTGCTGCCGGCCAGCCCTGCGTCTTCACAGCAGTGCCCCAAGGTGGGCCATACTTCCACAAGAAAGCTTAGCGGTTTGGGCCCCGTTCCCTTGGCAGGGTTTGGTTCACAGGGAGGGAACTTTTTTGATATGAAAAAGAGTCAAGGTGCAATGAACACCACTGAATATTCCAGTAAAGGATGAAGACCGACACATGTTAAGGCTTATCCTACACCAGACACTTCCACGGACTGACTCCCCTCGTCCTGACGGCACTCCCTGCGGTGAGCTCTGCTAGCATCCCTGCTGGGCAGAGGGAAGTGGAGAGGAGCCAGAAGAGGTGAGGTGTGGCCTGGACCCCGGAGCCTGGTCCAGAGCCTGTGGGTCTACGGAGCCTCGTCCTTCGTCCTGCGCAGAAAGAACAAAGCCCCTGAGGGCGGACCTCAGGGTTTGCCCTGGCTCTCGGTCTCAGAACCCGCTAGAAACCGAGCTCCCTGGAGAAGGCTTCTGGCTCCCTGGGCTCTGCTGGGCCCGTTTTCTTTAATTGCATTCCTAGTGCCGTGAGCTTTAGCCACCACAGTCCAGATGGCTGCTTTCCGAAATGAGTGACTTTTGATGAACTGTGCTCCTCAGGAGAATCGCCCAAGAGGGCAGAGACGGGCTGCTGCTCATGCCGCGGTCCCAGGACAGGCACAGGACAGAAACGCGAGAAGCGTCTACTGCCTGGTGAGTAAATAAGCTCACAGATCTGCCCTTGATCACCAAACACAGAGAACACATGGCCAGTATGCCAGGAAGCGTGTGGCCATGTGGGAAAGCACCGTGTTGGGAAAACAGTTAAGCAAAACAGACAGCAGGTCCACAAGACAGATCACACGCGACACCTGCTGGTGACTCGCTGCAGAGAGCAGACACAGCCCGGCCCCCTTGTGAGGGCTGGCACCCGGCGCCTCCTCCCTCCGGCTGCCAGCCTCTGCTTCCTGGGTGGGAGGCGCGGACAGTGCGGAGTAGAGGCAGCCTGATGAGAGCTGGCTGTGACCCTGAAGGGAGGAGGCAAAGCACCCCGCTGGCTCCCACCGGCCTGGAACTGCTTCAGCCCATCGGGGATTTCTGTTACTCAGGGGCTTGTACAAAGAGAAGCGGCTTCCAAGGACTGTAATTTTTTTTTTTTTTTTTTTTTTTTTTTTGAGACAGAGTCTCAGTGTGTAGCACAGACTGGCTTTGAACTCACTCTGTAGCCCAGGCTGGCCTTGAACTCACATCCTCCTGCCTCAGTCTCCCGAGTGAGTGCTGGGATTATAGGATGAGCCACCACACCGGGCTCCAGGGCGTACGGTTTATCTCTATGCATTTCACCATGTTTGTTCCATTCGGAAACCTGACTTGTGGTCTAATTCCTAATTATTTATGCACTTAACGCTTATTTTATTTTATTTTAGATAGGCTCTGGCTCTGTTGCCCAGGCTGGTCTCCATCCCCTGAGTTCAGTTCAATGATCTGCCTACTTCGGTCTCCTGAGTAGCTGGGACTTCAAGCTCAGCACCACCACGCCCAGCCATCTGGCACATTTCTCCTGAAGGCTCGTCCTGTGCCACACACTGTCTTCATCACCGGGACAGCAACAGTCACAGCTCCACCTCTCAGCACAGACCAGCGTCCCAGGGTTAACAGGCAACTGCAAAAGCAGCCGGAATCCACGGCCTGTGGATGAAATCCAAGAGTTGACTAAACTCCCTTAATTGGTCAGCGCTGGATTTACACTTTTTTGTGCATTGCTCACTGTCTTCAATTCTTAAACATCCCCAAAGTAATGGTTGAGGTGAGACAAAAATACATGCAAAAGTCACAACCAAAGCACACACAAATCATCCCGCGGGGCAGTTTTAAAGTAGGCTCAGCATGTAATTGGCGCCAGGAGGAGACGGTTATGTCGGAGTTTCCAAAATACCTGGTTTAGAAATCCTACATGGAGGGCTGGGCATTTAGCTCAGCAGCATAAGCGCCTGCCTTGCAAGCGCACAGTCGTGAGTTCAATCCCTGGTACGGATTTTTTTTAAAAAAAAAAAAAGGAATCCTACGTGGAGACTGTTATTGAGGAAAATAAATGTTGGGTGGAATAGAGATTGTGCTCTTGCCCCCAACATCCTCTTCTCTCTCCCTGTGATATGATACTTGCACGCTCACACACACACACACACACACACACACGCCAGGCTTGTCCACACAGCGTGTTCTGCCACATGAACTGTGCGTGGAGATGTTGGTGGCCTCATTCAAGCAGAAGCTTCAGAGGCTTCCAGCGACTCGCCCTGATCTGTGCCGAGCGCAGAGCCCTCCTCGGCCCACACCCCAGCCCAGAGTGGAAAAGAGCACAGCGCTGCCCAGTGTGTAGCCGAGATGCGAATGAGAGGTAACGCCTGGTGGTCCCTGAAATCAGGGGTGGTTTCTATTGCACATAACCTGGCGAGAGAACCGGTTTCCTCACTACTAAGTAGGGTGCAAGTGGGGGTCGGGCAGATGCTGCATCGACAGACAAACACCATGTCCTGTAGCAAGCCGGAAAGTGAACGTAAGGGGGGGCTACGGTCAGCCGGAGGAAGACGTCAGAGACTTGAAACACGTTTCCAACGACCGTGAAGCCTGTGGTGTAATCTCTGTCTATAGTACACTGAACCCAGGGACAGTAAAATATGCATTGTTTTCACACGCCACAGAACAATGTCTAAAAGAAATGACACATGTACCACTGTGGCTGTGTCTAGAGGCAGAGGCAGAGTCTTTCCCCCTTTAATTTTGGGTGTTGGGTGTTTTTCTCAGCAATGACAAAAGACAGGCATGTGCTAACCATGAAATACTCTCAGCAAAACTCTCTCTGACTATAAAATTTAGCAATCAGTTTTTTAAATAGAAATGCCCACACATTGCTTACTTCTACACAATTTGTGGAACAAAGAAATTATACTTCTGATCTTAAAATATTTAGAACTGACCACTATGACTATTTGTTAAAATTACCTTAAATGCATTACTACAAAAATACAAGGGTCACTGACCTTTGAGCCTTCCCCACGCAGATCCTTGACACAGACTTGCAAGGGACATTGCCATGGACTCTCGGCCTCCAGCTGGACTCGTGCAGGACATTGCCGTGGATCCAGGACCTCAGCTGGATTGTTTGGGTCTCTAGTGTGTGGACAGATCTCCTGCACTTTTCTCTTACATATGACTCTTTGGGTGAATATTATGAAATAATCCTATAAATTATGTATTAAATCTGTTCCCTTATAAGACCTGACTACAACACCCATAACAGGGTGAATAGATTTAAAAATGTGGTATTTACACACAATGGAGTCCTCTACTGCCACAAAGAAAGATACATTTGAGTCATTTGTAAAAAATGGACCCACCTGGAGACCTTAAGTGGCGTGAAATAAATCAGACACAGGAGGTTAAATGTCACACAGTTTCTTTTATGTTAGAAACCCAAAGCACAAATAAAGAAGAAATAACAGATAACAGGAAATAGAGAGCTGGATATCACTCAGAGAAGAAAGGGATCAAGAGACGGGGGAGGAAGATGGGAAGGAAGGGAGGAAGAGCAGCTGGCGGGTTACACGCATGCAGCACTCCACGCAGGGGATGCAGACATTCCCGCCACAAACACGGACAGATACAAGGGCCAAAGTCGGGAAAGAACGGAAATGCACAGAAGACAGCGAATAAGAAGCATACCTTAAAAATAAAATTTTAGAGCAGAGAAGTTTAATTTCCTCTTTCACGCTCCCCAAAGCACTATGCAAAAGGACAGCTTAGGTTTCCTTTTATTTGTCTTTAAATTTTAAAGAGAAACAAAAACACAGAAAAACAACAGAACAAACAAAACCCCTAAAACAATAGCAGTATAGGCTTTAAGACAAGATGATAGGATTTAACAGTGGTCATTATGTGTGTATTGGTATCTTCGAAAGAGTTGCTGCAGATTACCAGATACAGGCGTGCAAAACTGACCACACAGTGTGAGCACTAACCGCTGCTTTCCTTGAACCAACAGGATTAATAGTGCAATTATCAAAAAATTAAAAAATAGTACAATTATCTTAGCTAATATATATATTAGCTATATATTGTATATAAATATATATATATATATATTTTTTTTCTCCTTTAATTTCTTTCCCCGTCCTATCTGGTTTTCCCCAGTAATTCTTTCGCCCTGTCTTCAGGGATTTAAGAATTTAAGGACTGGAGAAAACAACGCATGTAACCACCTGAAAGAAGCTTCCAGACCTGGGACTAAAACAGACAGAGAAAGATGAATTGATCTTTGACCCGGAATGTTGAAGGGCACCAGGCCCCTCAGGAAGGCAGCTGCGTGGCTGCCCCCCAAGCCTCGCCTTTGGGCAGCAGCTGGGTCAGGGTGTGGCACTGGCGTTACTGGCATGTGGGACCTGAAGGCGTTTAGCCCAGTTCTGGGCGTGGACAGTGGAAGCCCCACCCTGGGTGCGCTGACACCGTCACCAGGTTTAAAGCCTGGGTGGACTACAGAGGGTGGACGGGAGGCAGGTCCTGCACCGCCTGCTGCCCTCCCGCTCCCCCGACCCTGCGGTGGACAGCTCCTCCCCTGCGAGGCCCCTCTCCCCTGCACCCTGCCTTGGAGATCGCTGGCTGTGGCCTGGGAGCCAAATAAACCTGAACTCCTCTAACTCTGGTGTGAGGATTTCGTCTCAGCAATGAGAACAGGAGGGCAGCGACAGCGCAGCCCCTCCGGTGGCCCGGGACCACTGTGTCCAGCCTGCAGCCCTCCCCAGCACCGCCCAAGCCCGCCTCTCGCCTGCCTTCACCCTTGCTAGTAAAGACAGCCAGGCTGTGCGGGGCCGGCGGGCACAGAGCCCCACATTCCCCACTTTTCAAATGTGTTCCCTTTTTGCCATGCTTGCCCCTACGCACCTCATTTCTTACCTGGTGGGGTTTTCCTGCCTAATCTCGACACGGAAGTCAGTCTTCCACCCTGCTGCCGGAGATAACTCTGCTTGTAAAGTACACATCAGATCAGCCCCTGTTCAAAGCCTTATTAACTCCCTTCTCTCCAGGCGGTGTCGGGGTCCTCGTCCTGATGTTTTCGGAACCTGCTCCGGCCAACCTTCCTGCTCCCCGCCTGCGCCCTGTGCACAGCCTCAGAGAACTGAGTTCTCACCGCCTGGGCTGGGGAGGAAAAGGTATTCGATGGCATTGTAAGAACAGACGTTAGCCACTTCCCTGTCCTGAGACACAGTACCCGACACCCACAGTTTAAAGGAGGAGAGGTTGTTCTGGCTGCTCCTTCTTTGGTCAGCTCCCCAGAAGAAACGACCTGGCAGAGAGGCGTGACAGACAAACATGGACCGCAGAAAGCCAGGGGAGGGCAAGGAAGGGAGATGTCATTTTCCAGGTCACGCATCCCGTGACCCCCACTTCCAAAGCTGCGGTGTCCTGATAGTTCATCACCTTCAGGTGTGAGGCTCTCGCTGAACTACAACGGCAGAGTTTCTTCAGGACCATTCCGACAAGGATGGGAAACCCCGGCCGTGGAGTTGTGCATTGGGGGTACACACAGACAAGTGGGAATGTACAGCAGGGCTGTGGGTCACGGAGGGAAAGGCACTAAGAATTTCCCCAAAACCCACCTGAAGTCAGGCCGGGGAATGAGACATCAGCTGGGGCAGGGGAGGGGGGAATCCAGTCAGAGTCAGACAGAGTCCCTGCCGCTCTACCGTGCTGAGGTCCTTGTTACAGCAGATGGCACAGGGCTGTGCACAGATGGACCTGGGTTAAAAACTGGTGGGGCGAAGATCTCAGCGTGCATGTGCTGTACCTGTGTCTCTGCACTTTTTCCAAAGCACCTGATTTCCTGCACATCCTTCGAGCCCGAGCTCAGAGGTTAGCAAGCGCCATCCGCATGGTCACTGGTGGGATCTCGGCCCAGCCACAGCACCTGCCACTGTTCACAGGAGGTTAGGAAGCGGGGGTGTCAGGTATGCTGGTCACACTTTCCAGTAATATGCTCGGTCAGTCTTCAATCTCCAGACACCTTTCCAGGAAAAGAGCTGCCAAATTTAAAGCAGAGTTTGTTGTTTAATCTAACACCACTGACTGTGCCAAAATCTGAAAACAACAAAATATGGATCGTTTGCTGTCTGCCAGTTCTCTTTACCAAGCCATGCATTCCTGAAGGAAATGCTTTTTAGGCTTTCTCATACGGCTAGTTGCCAACAGAAGTTTCAACACAAAATAAGCAAGAAATAAATGCTTGAGAAATAAATAAAAGAATATATAAGTTCAGAAAAATAATAAGTAATATATTTTATTTACAAATACTTAAGACATTTTCCTGTTATGGGTTAGAAATAATGTACAATAATAAACAATGCTTAAAATAATGTGGTCAGACTTTATTAAAAAGATCACAGATTACTGACTTCCCTGGACAATGAATGCTTTATACTATTTTAAAATTTGTACATCATGGCTGTATGGACTATGGAATGCAGGGTAGGTGGCTTTCTGAACTTGGGTCATTATCTGTTTCTTTGCATGAAATTTCTCCTACAAACACTAGGAAGGTCCAAATCATACTTCAAGTTCAAATCCTTTTCTTTTGCGAGTAAATTATTTTATATTTAGGAGAACTCTACAAAATACATTCAATTGACCTGAACACAGGTAAGCAGTTAGAGACCTAGGTAGCCAATAAAATTTAACTTTGTCCAAGAAAAGTGTACCCGGTCTTGAGTGTCCACTAGCGCCTTCAGACTGAGGGTTCCTCTTGGCCACCCGAGTCCTAGTGAGCTTAAATCTTCCTCCCCGGAATCTCTGGAGCCACCTCCTCATCTTCCCTCCTTCAAGCGAGGACTGTGCTTTCTGCACACCTGGATCCTGAAGCTCCTGGCCTCTCCGGCAACCGTGAGATCTCAGAAAGTCCCCTGAACGCTCTGCATTTCGGTGCTCACCTTCACATGGAGAAAACAATGCTCACCCAGAAAGGTCACTGTGGGAGTAAAGCACAGTCAGGTATCACAGACCTTTTTGGGTCAGGAGTCACCCCAAACCCCTCTGCTTTGGAACCACATGGTGGGCATGAGGCAAGCTCGGTGTGCTAAACTGAAGCCTGGGAAAGGGGAGGCCTGGGGAGTAGCATCCTGGGACATGGAGTTCTCATCTGACCTAGGTGTGTGGTGGGCAGAACTCTGAGGACGACCCCAGGCTGCTGCCTCCTGTACACGTGGGTGGGCCTGGGAGTGAGGTCCCACACCGCCAGCCCCTGTGGAAGGCTCGTCTAATTGCATGGGCCGGGGATGTTTTTACGTGTTCATTTTGCATGAGGCCTTTAAAAGCTCAGAGTTAGCCTACATAGCCTGTAATTCCAGCACTCGGGGAGGCTGAGGCAGGATTGCATATCTGAGCTCAAGCTGGGTAATTTAGTGATTACTGAGACCCTGTTCAAAAATAAAAAATGGGTTGGGGCAACTCCGTGTAAGGTCTGGGGTTCAGTCCCTAGTACTACTAAAAACTAAGTAAACAAACCAATAAATACATAACTGTGGAGTTTTCCCAGCTGATGGAGAGCAGAAAAGCAGCTCTCAGGAGAGGGACTGGGAGGTGCCAGAGCAGGACGGAGTGAGCCGCCCACCCGTGCTCACCAGCCAGGCAGCCACAGACCTCCACACCCACGCGCTGGCTCTGGTCATCTCTGCCTGTCGGTTTCTTGGGCTGGAAAAAAGGCAGAACGGGAGGCATTTTCCTAAGGGAGAGGCGTTTTCACGTGGAAGGAAGCAGAGACAGAAAGGTGGGGAAGAGCACCTCGCCCCAGCAGACCGTGAGCTGGTGGGGCCGAGGGGTGCCACGCACAAACAGCCCACCTTAGAGGAAAGCTTGAAGGGCGCCAGGCCCGGACCCCTGCCCAGATCCTCAGGCACCTAAGGGCTGAAGTCCAAGAAGGCACCTGTGGGCAGACTGAGCAGCCTGAGCAGCCTGGGCATGCCAGTGCTGGGCAGAGGCAGGGCAGGTCTTCTCCAAGCAGCTGTGTAGACACAGGAAACCGAGGAGAAGGAAGACGTGAGCCGTGTCTTAGATGCAATACGGAGGGTGCAAATAACCAGGGCTACTCGCAGAGGGCAGGCAGGTGGAGGTGAGCTACCAACAAACAGCGCCCCTCACCCAGCAGGCATCAGGGCCCTGCTGGAAAGCGCTTCACTCCAGGGTGCTGTGGAGCAGGCTTTTCCTGAGGGCAGACCAAATCTAAGCATCCGTTCACTGGGAAGAGCGTGCTACAAGTCCGTCTCCAAAGCCCCTCCCTGGCCTCGCCGTCTGCCTGGCCACTCGGACAGGAAGTCCTGCCTGCCCACCACAGTCTCTTCCTGCCTCGAGGCCCGAACTCTGCCTGTCACTGTTTCCCAGGAGTGAGGGGGACACCAAGTTTGGAGTCAGCCACCACGACCGGGCAGATCTGCTTTGGTTTGGCACTGACTTTGGCCTTTGTAAGGCGGAGGAGCCAGACACTGACTTTCCCGTCTTTCCTGCCTTCTGGAGTAGGCATACGATCAGTGACCGAGTGACCACGTGCTGCTGTCAAATCTCACTAGCCTGCAATGTCAGAAATGGACTAAGCTGGTTCGCAGCCATTGTTAGTACCTGGATACAAGCTTCTAAATACAGGGAAAGGTTTAGATGTAACTCAGGGAAAAAGCGATTTGTGTACTTGGACTTCGATTCTCACCACTCTGTTGAAGTATCAAAGTGTATTTTCAATGTATGAGAATAAAATACCAGACTAATGATTATGAAAACTCTGTGCAATTAAAAATCTGTAATGCATAGATAACATGAAATAGAAAAAATTAGGAAAAATACCATATGCTTTTTGAACCAACAAAGCTTTATAAAAGTTTAAACAATGCAAGGCAGGCTGGGTGCCACGGTATATATCTATAATTCCAGCCATCTAGAAGGCTGAGGTAGGAGGGTCACAAGTTCAAGCCCCATCTGGGCACTTTAGCAATTTAGCAAGATTTTGTCTCAGGACTAAAAATAAAAGATCTGGGGGTGTAACTCAGTGCAAAGACCACGGGTTTAATTGCAGGTACTGAAAAAAATTTAAGAGGCAGGACCACAGAAATTAGATTTTGCCATAGCTCTACTCTTTACTGAAGTATTTGATATTTTGACATTCATGACAGTAAATAAAATAACCTCTAGGGCTGTATTTGCTTTTCAGTTGTTTCGTTCCATCTACACTACACATTCGGTTCTGTTTTCAGAACATAGTTAGCGTGCAGCCTAATGAAATTGGGTTGCTGTAAACAGAAGGATAAAAGACACTTCCATCATCAATTTTCAGCCAAAGGAAAACCACAAGGCAGACAAGGGGCTTCAGAACTGCCTTGTCATGAACTTTTACAAGTTGTGCAAACCAGACGAAACAGTAGCCATTATATTTTTTAAAGGCTGCTTGACAGAGAGAGAGAGAGAGAGAGAGAGAGAGAGAGAGAGAGAGAGAGACAGAGACAGAGAGAGAGAGAGAGAGCCTTTAATGTGACAGGGCTTGCTAACCGCCAGAGACTGCCCGCAGAGAAAGTGGCCCATGGACCGGAACTGGCTGGAGAAGAAGCCAAACAACGTCCCTTGAGAGTAAGCTTTTCCTGTCTACAAAGATGACCCCGTCCAGCGCTGTCAGGGACAATGCTAAAATTGGCAAACAGGCCATAAAAGCGAGGTTGGAAATGAAGAGAACAGTGACCTTGGATCCAATTAGACTGGCCCACGGCCCCGGTTCTGGGCCCAAGATTAAGGACAAATTTTTCTCAAGTGCGGTAGGAGGCAGCAGGACCCTCAAGAATATTAAGTAAACACGGGAGCCGTGTGATGTCTGCTTCAGAACAAAAGAGAAAATGCGCAGAGCTTCTGTTTGCAAAGTTACCTCAAAAAACTGTGTGCTCCCCGGTAAACAAATCTCTAGTTCAGGCGTCGAGCGAGTCTTCACCAGGGTGGAGCAGAGAAAGGAAGCTTTCTGACTCACTGGCCACACGTCCATCCCACTTGGGTGGTCAGTGAGGCTCCCTGGCCAGCGGGGAGAACTGGGGTCTTCCTCCAGGTGGCTTTCACACCCGTCAGGCTGGCCTGGGCCTGGCTACTTGGCGTAGTCACCGGGATCCAAAAGAAACAGGACAGCAAGATGACCTCCCTCCAAACCAGCAGCCACCCAGCTCTCGTATGCCCTCCCCACAGCCAGACTCAGGGGAGCCATTTCAGCGTGTGCATAGCTCTCCTGAACGACTCGTCCCTGTGATCCAAAAACCAGCAGCTTCTGTTGTGAGTACACTCCGGCAGCTTCTCTACCAACTGAGCTGTAGCTACTGTCCCCGCCCACGGACAGCCTTGGGTGACAGCTTCAGGGACCAGCTGCAACACACAACCCAAGAGTAGTCGGATCTTAGGGTCACTGGGGGTTCACGGCCTGCCTGGACGCTGCGCACACGGAGGTCAGGAAGCATGAGAAGGAAAGGATGGGGTGGAGCTGATGCTCCAGTGTAGCCCAAGCTGGGCTCCCACCCGTGGGTAGACAACCTGGCTGTTCGTAGGTTTCTCGGCCAGTCGAGGACTTCACAGTCACCTCAGGTTTTCGTTCAGCTGGTTTTCATTTTTCCCCTCTGCGCCCTTTATCCTCTCTTCCCGATGCTGACCAGGGGTCCAAGCAGCTTGGAAGCACAGCAGGGACCAGCCTGCTTTGTAACTGTCGCCGTGTAGCTCCCACACACGTTCTGACACCCTTGAGGGACCCCGGCTCACGCAGCCCCTCTCGGAGGTCGAGGTCCTGTCAAGGCAGGACTGCTGACCCCCAGCTCAGTCCTAGGTGTTCTCTGGGGCCGACTTCCTAAACAGATCCACAGAAATGAGTGAAGTTAATTCTTTGATCTCTTTATTTTTAACTTCTTTATTGTAATAAAAATAAAGCCACAGTACTAATAACCTCACAAATGTAGAAGTGAGTGAGGTATTTTTAAATGAGTACCTGGGTAATTACACCCAGGTCAACAAGGAAGACTTGGCTGGGCATGGTGGCACATGCCTGTAATCTCAGCACTCATGAGGCTGAGGCAGAAGGATTGCTGCAAGTTCCAGGCCAGCCTGGGCTGCACAGCAATCTAGACACACACACAGCCATCTTGGGTACCTCAGAGCTGTCTGTATGTGCCCTGCACCAACCACTACCTATTCCTACCTTCTGCATGTTAGCAAGCTTTGGCTTCTTAGTTTTTTAATTAATAGACATTTATTTATTTATTGTATCATGGGGATACAATAAGCCCCAGTCTCCTGCATGCTAGATAAGGGCTGCACCGTTGAGTTATAGCCCCAGTCCTTGAGGCTGGCTTCAGACTTGTATCCTCCTGCCTTAGCTGCCTGAGCAGCTTTAATGACAGGCGTGCACCCCTATAGTCAGCTAGACTTTACTTTTCTAAAAAGAGTTTTAGACTTACAGTGGGAAAAGATACACATAGTACAGAGGTGCCATACACACCCACAAGCAAACTCAGTTCCCCTCTTGCTAACATCTTTAAACAGTGATACAGATTATAATTAATGAGTCAATACTGATACATTGCCAGTATCAGATGTGTCAGGTGAAGTCTAACACACTCACATTTCCTTCCCTTCCGCTCATCTTTTCCCGTTCCAGAATCCCCTCCCAGAATCCCCTCCAGGCTACGTTACCTTTAGTTTCCCGGCTTCCTAGGCTCCTCTCTGCTTCTATAATTCCTCACTCTCTTCAGTTTTGATGATGCTGACATCTGAAGATTGTTCCTCAAGCATATGGGGGGGGGGCAGGGTGCTCCTCCACTAGAATCTGCTGCTCTCCCCCTGACTAGAATGGAATTATGGGTATTTGTGGTGATCACATGCGCAAAGTGCCATTTATTACATCACATCAAGGATTGTGGGAGACCAGAGAAGAAGGTGAAAACCGGACTGGTCTCCTGTGTGAGAACAAAGGTGAAAGGCGTCTTACAGGGACAAGGATACTGCAGGGTCTAGGGAAAGCCAACCCAGGTGAGATTAAGTTGTTTACCTGCTCGTGCTAATGGATCACAGAAGCAGATGGTCTTAATGGTTGATACATTGTGTCAACTTGAGGGATTGGGGGGGGTAATTAAGTGACTCAGGGGGATTCAGGGCCCTTACTTTGCAAGGCCCCTGAGCATCCCAGGCAGAGATGAGGTGGGCGTAGAGGACCCCTCCAGGCAGAGCTACTCACAAGCTGAGGGAGGAAGAGCGGCTTGCTTTCCTCTGCTTTATGCTTGGCTGCTTTTGCTGTCTTCTGTTGCCCTGAAGTGTTGCCCCTGTGCCATGTCACCTGCCTGGATCCAGCTGATTATGGGCTGAATTTACCACAACCTGTGAGCTAAATAAACCTTTTTTCCCTTAATTTGGGACATCGGGTATTTTGTCTCAGCAATGAGAGAAAAGTAACTAACACGATCTCATGTTACATTAATTGCTTGTTCTTATGTCTGAATAAAGACAGGACAGCCCAGAAGCTTGGGCTCCTCTGCCTAGAGGCAAGAACCCCCGGCTGCCCCTATGTTAAAGTAAGTGTGTCGCTTTGTCGTTCACCTGGGTCAGGGAACAAAGCTGTAGCAGGACTAGGTCCCTACGAGTGGTTCCTTGCATGGGGAAAGATCAGAGGGTGGGCTGCTTCCCCATGGGCGGCACCCGGGAAAGGACCTAGGACCAGCGGAGCAGGTCCTACAGAGGATGTTGGCCTTGACCTTGTTGGCTGAAAGAGAAACTGATTTTTGTAACTATTTACTTTCCTTGCTACTGTCTAACATACCTGAACGTGTAATCACTATAAGAAGGATTAATGAGATATTTACTTTTCTTACACTAAGACATCAAAATCAAAAGCATTTTATGCTCAAAAGCCGCAGGTGGTGCTGGCTACCGCGGGTCTAGGAGCCCGCACTCCTGCAGCCAGGTCCCCAGCATATCTGAGCATTTGATCGTAGCCCCTCCCGCATGGCCCTAGCTAACCCAGAGATCTTGGCAGAAGTAACATTTTGGTGTCTGGTCAACTTCCTTTTCGCTGTGTGGGCCCCCCACTTTCCCCTGCCCATGGATTCTTTGAATAAGTAGAGGGAGAAGTGTCACCATGGCTCAATATAAGTTGTCCAAAAACCTGCTTGGTGTGGCGTGTGTGTGTGTGTGTGTGTGTGTGTGTGTGTGTGTGTGTGTCTGCATTATTCTACCTAAAAACCAAGAACCTGGACACTGTTCCTCCTCTGGGACAACTGAAGTGGTCCAGTATGTTGGAGGGGATGAGTCTTATGGTGGGTATGAAGAAATCAGGAGGATTTTTTAAAAGGAGTAAGATAAGAAAATACTTTAGTCAATATTTTACAATATTACCTCATTGCACTTGTCAATAGGTCTTAATAAATGTAGCTCTTTAAAAGCAGAAGTGAAAGCAGGAACATAAACACCTCATGATGGTTAATCTTGACTGTCAACTTCATTAGATCAAGAAAAAGCTAGGGAATTAGCAATGTGTGCTTGTAGGTGCGGGGGAGTGTCTCAGGGATGATTGGCAGGTGGGACAGCAAATGGAGAGAGGAGACCGGCGCTGATCGTGGTAGTGCTGTCCAGTAGGCTGGAGGCTGGAGGGAACAAAACTGGGAGGAGAAACCGGCCGGCGAGGCTCTGCCTCCCTTTCCCTCTCGGCTTCTTGGCTGCCATAGTGAGCAGCTTTCTTTGTGACACCTTTTTGCCTTTTTCACAAGCTTGAAACAGTGGAGCCAGCAGCCCAGCACCAAGCCTCTGAGCAGCCCAGCCTCTGAGACCAAGAGCCAAAGTAAACCTTAGCTCCTTTAGGTTGCTCATCTCTTGGGAATGTTGCAGCAACCGGGAGCTGTCTCATGCTCGCCTTTGCAGTGCATCGGTCTGCTTTGTTACTGTAACAAAGCAGGCCAGATGATCAGCTTACCAAGGGAAGAGGTTGACCTTGGCTCACAGACTTAGAGGTCCAGTCCACGGTCACGTGGCCCTGTTCACCGGACTGTGGCAGCACAGTGCACCGTGGTAGAGTATATCGTGCAGGGGCCAGAGAGTGTGGCAGGAAGCACAGAGCAAGGGCTGGTGCCTCATGTCCCCTTCGAGGGCCATACCCAGTGCCCTGACTGCCTCCTCAAAGCCTGGAAACTGGACCTTTACCCCTGGGCCTGGAGCCTCTCAGACCAAAGCACAAGCCTGCTCTCTGCAGTGGGCTCTGTGGGAAGGTGCATCTCTGCCTTTGGGGAAAATGGCTCTTCCTGGATCATCTTGCATTTTCCCTGCTTGGTGAAAGTCAGTACTTGACTTCAAACTCACAAACAATTTGTTTTTAAAGTTCTCAAATGCTGTAGCATTTCATTCCAGCCTGTGCAATTTTGTCAATGGTTACTTTCCAGGCAAGTTTCCCAGGCATATTTAATTCATATTGAAGCTGACATAAATTACATTTAAACTGAAAATTACAGGAAACAATACTTTTACATTTTTAAAGGGAGTCCTCAGCCTAGAAAGCCACACGAATGTGTGTCCCTTCTGTGAAAGCTCCTTTAGGGAAAGTGAATCTCACTGAATTGCTTTCCTGGTCTCAGCCAATCTCCTTTCCCTCCACGCTTTTAAATGCTTGGGATTTTCATGGCCTCCCGGAACTCTGCCCTGTTTGCCAGTCTTGCTAGTGAAAACCACAGTGGTGCCTCAGCCCATGAATTTAGCTCCTCCTGCCATCCTGGGGAGATGCCAGGTCTGCTCAGCACCAGTGCAGAGTTGGCTAATTTTTGCCAGCACGTCTGTGCGTGAAACAAATTGTACAGGAACAGAAGCATCTGCAAAGCGAGGTAGTATTACTGTACTAAAAAGAAAAGCTGAAAAGATTGTTCTTGTAGCTTTTGGAGGGCAGACGATGAAGGGTCGGTGATATGAACAGGGAGGCTATTTTTAAAGTTACATTCAAAGTACTGAAAACAGTGATATTTAAAGCCCGGTTTCCCTTAACCTTTTAGGTTCCACATGCAAATATTATTCTGTTGATGATAAGTCTAGAATAAGAGGGCTTTGATTAACATTCTCAAGTTGAACAAACTAAACTCACTCCAACCAGTTCTGTTTATAACCCAAGTTTAATTAAATTTCCCTAAAACATTTTAAACTGCATTCATAAATTTAATGTTTTCAATTTTCTTTTTTTGGCACATTAATTACCTACCCTGACAAGCACAACTGCCTAAGCACTTGCAGACTAAGTGAATTTCGAAATACAATGAATCTCTTAAGCATTCTAATACTCTACTGTTTGCAAACCATAAAATCCTCTCATACCTTTCAGCAATAAACTACAAATCTAAACCCAATTTCTCCCCCACATATTCCAAGTTGAAATCAGAAGACTCATCTCTCTGACATTGTCTTGCACCCAATTATTTTAAACATTACAGGTACAATAAATGTGAAACTTGCACAATTGCTCCTAAATTTAAATAGAGAAGTGTTCACAGTGTGTGCTTGGTCTCTTGATCATTTTAGATTTACCCATAAATCTTCCCAAAACTAAAACACTGGTGTTCACTCTAACATGGGAACAGTTATATCATCTCAGACTGAGCTGCTGCCTCCACCTCACGCAAGTCATTTTATTGTTTCTGTCAAAGAGTCCTGGCCCAAGGCAGGATGTGAATTCCAGGGCGATTTCTCCAGCATCAAAAATGGAGACATTGGGTCTTTAGAAAATTAGTCATTTATTCCAGCTGGGGACTTCGGGTACAGGTCTCTGCAATGGCGATGGTTGATTTTGTGAGCCTGCCTCTGGGGTTTAAGGTTCCCCATTACCTAAGGCCGTGTTCCAGTCTCAGTTAGAAACCTAACCCCAGCCTCCACGTTACTTTGCCCCTTGGACTGGATTCAGCTGACGATGGCACTGCCTGGCGACCCTGAGTACATTTGCAAATGGTGGTCCTGGTCGGCTCTCCACACAAGCTCGAAGTCTTACTGCCGGCACACGTTTGCCTCAAGACAGGAGCAGAGTCCCGGGAGCGCTGAGCTGCATGCTGACTGAGGGGATGGGAAGGAGAGGGAGCCATCGGTGCCTGATGGCAGAGGACAGACTCAGAGGCTCGCGCTTCAGGAGCGAGGCGCCAGGGTAACTGCCCGGGACAAGGACACTCTGCCCTGCGACCCCTGCTTGTCCCTTCCAAAGCCCGCCCTCGTTGTCCCAGCCGGTGTCTGGGCTCGCAGTGCTGGTGATGGGCAATGATCTGAGCAAGGTCTCCCCTCTCTGCACCATAAAGACATACCATGCATTTCCGGCACCCTGGTGCCCCAAGGGGAGCTCTAGGTGCAGCTTGACTCCCTCGTCCTTCTGTGCAGGCAGGTCTGTTTTTCTGCTAAACAATTCCTCTCCGAATCGTGACCTCTTCGGCCTGCTCTCTGTGGCTGTGAGGCCTCCGACCTCTTTCCCGCCATCCCGTTTTCCCCTTCCTGCCCTGGTGGCCTTTCCCGTCTACTCTCTCCCGCGGGACCTTCGTCTCAATTCTCTTGCCCATCTCCACCCCCTGCATTCACCCTCAGGTCTTGGTTTGGATTCCCCTTCAGGCTGCGTGAGCCCGTTCCTCTGCAAGCACACATGTTCTAATAAACAGCCTCTTGGTCAAGCCACGGTCAGCTCCAGGGCTGTCCCAGCGCTGTGTTCCCAGTGCTGCTGGGCCGCACCGGGGTCAGCGCCCTGCTTGTTGGTAGTGAGATTCCACCTGCTGACGTGTCTGGCGCGTGGCCACGCCACAGAAACTCTAAGACACCACGATTCACTTGAGAACTCTGATCTTCAAGATGAAAGAAGAAACAACGCCTGCGGGAAGCTGGTTTTGAGATGTACAGGTCGAGTGAGGAGTTAAGAGACGATTTCTGAAGATTCAAAGCAGCCTAGAGAGAGTAAACGGTTTTTATTTTATTTTGAAGGTAGTAAAAACACAACAGAACAAGACAGAACAAAGCCAATCGAGACGATGCAATGACACTGGTGCAGAACTTCACAGCAGGTTACCGGGGTAACAGCAATAGGGACCACAGTATATCTCGTTATCTTCACAATAGCTGTCCAGTCAACTAGGTAGAGAGAAATCAAACCAAATACAGAACATTAAAAAATCAATTGAAAGAGAATATTGAATACAGCAAAACAATCATAACAGAACAAAAAAATGAAAACAACCCTTGCCTTCAAAGAGAAGATAGAAGGAAATCCTCGTATTTGCTATATTGCATATGGCCGTCCTCCCAAGACATGCTCAGGCCTCTGCCCCCAGTTCCTAATGTGGAGGGGAATGTTTTATTGAAGTCTAGGTTAAGGCTGACATTTTTCCTTTGAAGGCTTAAGTTGGCTGCAACACAGAACCAAGTAACAAGAGAAAAGGGGAACATGTTTGTTAACCTGTTCATGGGCATAGGAGCCACATGAAACGTGAGACTCAGGACGGGCAGGTGGCTCAGGTCTAACCACTGTTTACACAGGGGAAGGAAGTTAGGGCAGGGGGCAGGCAGGCTCAGGGGGCAGTACCCGACGTGAAGGAGTACAGGCCTTCCTTTGCAAATAGTTCTCTTTGGAAAGTAGCAACAGCTTGTCCCAGAGTCTAGGCGTGGTGACAGTTCTCAGTCTTCCCTCCTGTGACATGATTTCAATCTTTCTGTGTGAAAACTATCAAGGATGGGATGAAAAGCAATTGTGTTCCTTTCAGGTGGATCTAGTCTTGGCAGATAAGAGAGCTTCACATAAAAGCCTCTCCCTGTGCTTGGGTAAGCTTGGGTACGGGAAAGTCAGACAGACCTATTTCTGGGGCGGCTTCTAAGCCCTCATTTTCTTTCATGCAAAGTGCTCAGTTTGTCACAGTGCCATACTTCTGGGTATCATTTTCTGAGTCTCGATACCAACACATAAAAAACTGCCCAGGTCCTCCCCACACAGCCCAACGCGTGTACACAAGGGAACACGTGCGGTAGTGAGTGCCTCTGCACCCCAGACAGCCCCCCAAGTCCCCTGAGAGTGGTGTCTGTGGATTCCAACTTAACAAAAAAGATTTTCTGGTTCAGTTCCGTTGCCTGCAGACATCAGTAGTTCTGAGAATGAACTGCTCCCCCGTGTTTCAATTCTCCTATCCGGGAAATGGATTCCCTACTGGGCAGTACTGGGTGGACAGTAAAGTTAGTGATCCAACCTATCAGGAGTGAGCGGGAAAGAGGAACCTCTGTAAGTCTTTTGAGCAAAAATTTTTTTTTGTCTTTTTCCTTTTTATCCATACCAGGGATCAAACTTACAACTGCCTGCTTGCAATGCAGGCACTTATGCCGCTGAGCTAAATCCCCAGGCCCCTTTTGAGCAAATTAAAAATAACACAGGGAACTGGAGTTGGAGGAGCTAAGAAGCCCAACAGTCTAGTGAGACAGAAGGTCACCGCAACGGTAAGCGTGCACTTCCTGGACCCAGGACAGTAAAAGGAAGAAATCGCCCCGGGCTTGGGTAGGAGGCCAGGAACAAGGGAAGCCAGCAAGCCCTTGGCAGAGCCACCATCTGCTCTGTGCAGCAGCCAGCAGCCTGAGCGCCGCCATCCCAGCCCATGGAGGCAAAGCAGAACTCAGAGGAAAACCAAGCCCAACTCCCCTCCCTGAAAGCACCTACCTCCGAGAGGCTGCAGGTAGGGTTAACAACTGCATCTCCGTGACGAGTCCTGTGGCGTGCTGTCCCCCCCCCATCTGTTTCCTGCAGGCTGACTCTGCTCTGTTCCTGATGAGAAGGATGATTATGGTCCTGAAGAAAGTCCTGTATTGCCCTGTGGCACCTGCAACCTGCAGGCTTAGGACATATGGTCCCCACAAGATGCAAAGGTTCTGTTTTTCTTCCGAGGCTGAGTTACAAACCTGTCCCCAATAAGTCCCTTTGTCTGTACCCCACCTGCTTTCCCATCACTAAACAGGCCAACCCTTGGCCACATGTTCAGGCTCAGTCCTTTGGACAGAAGTCTAACTGAGTCAAGTGCACTTAATAAAATCCTCGTCTCCCAGTGATCTGTCCCATCTCTTAAACTCTGCAGAATATCTAGTATCAACCACTGCCACAGAAGATGTCACAGAAACGGTGGTGGCAGACAGTAGGGTAGGTGGAGAGGAACCCCAGCCTCCCTGCCTCCCAGTCCAAGGCCAATCCATCCGACTGGCCATACATTTCTGGAAGCCACTTGGTGAGGTGGTGGGGATGGAGGGTGCTTCAGGGTTCAGAGCAGAACAGATGTTATTATTTAATTTCAAGATACCTTTGTTTTTAATTTAAAAGTGTTCCATTAGCATTATTTTTGCATGTATCAATTAATACGAGGATTTCTCACAAGCAGTGATCCCCAACTACTGCTGTATAACAAACCATTGCAAAACTGAGTGATTTAAGATAGCGACATTCCTAGTTGCTCATGAATATGCAACGTGGGCAGGTGTTGGAGGACAGTTTGTCTCATTCCATGTGGTAGCTGGACTGGGCACCAGAAGACACAAGGCTCAGCCCTGAATCTGCTCAGCTCAGGCCCAGGGATGCAGGAACACATTGCAAAGTGCTTTTTTTGATTAGCCAGATCAATCCCTGCCTGAAAGAAGCCCTAGGTTGTTTAGTCATGTGAATCAATATACTTTCTTTTTAGTGAGTTTGAGCTGTATTTTTGTAGCTCACAACCAAAAGATTCTTAACCTCTAGGAGGGACAACAAGATGGCAAGCCAGAAGAAGCCAAAAGTGGGGTTCAGATTATCAGAGATTAAAATCTTGGCCCTGGCAATAGATGAGGAACAGATTTCCATGCATTTCTTGAAGTCGTTGCCCCCAGGAGATGGCAGGTCCCCAGGGAAGCAGAGAGGTGGACTTGGGAAGTGGGACGTGGCCCGGCTTGGGGGAGGCCTGGACAGCAAAACAAATTAATGCAAATGGTCATCAGACGATGTCTGGATACAAAACTAGACATCACAAAGCTCGGCAAGAACCATGTGACACACACACTGGCCGTCTCTGTAGAGGGGCCCAAAAGCAAGTACTGCACAATGCACTCACCTGCATGTGGCCCCAGGAAGCAGGAGGGCAGCCCCAGAGGGACAGAGGCCAACGCCTGCCACCTTGGCAGAATGCAGGCCTGGCTCAAGAAGTTGAGTCATAGAAAATAAGTTTCGGCACCTCTGGCTTTGTGGCCTGAGACTCATATCAGCTAAAGAATGATGGACCGGGGATACAGCTCAGTGGCACAGCACCTGCCTGGCACGCACAAGGTCCTGAGTTCGATTTCTGGTACCACAAAAAAAATAATGAAGGCTTTCCTGAAGGGGAAATTGTGTCACAAACCCTGGAGAAAATGTAAGGGGAGTAAAAAAGAGATCTCCTTAGTACTGCCAAGGAAGGTGATTTACAGGCTCTTCCACTGCAATAGGTGTTGTTCCCAACATGCAAATTAGCTTATCAGGATTGGTCGGTAAAATTTTCTGATATGCAAATTAGCTTATCCATGATTAGCTAATTGGGAAAAGTGATCAATTAGCATAATTACACCTCAGATAAACCTCACTGGCTATGACGCAGCCACTGAGCAAAGCTCATGATTGGCTAATTGGAATGATGTCAGGGAAGGCAAAGGCTGCAGTAATGCGTATCCATGCCGTGCCATACGTCAGTGTTTGTTCTGCTTTGTTCCAAGAATTCTAGCAGCTGAGTTGCAAGATAAATGCACTCAGCTGAATGAAGAAAGATATAAAGAAATATGTTACCATGTAGAATGGCATGGCATTTGCATTAACCCAGCATTGCTTTTTAAAAGTAAAGCATTATATTTAAATTCTTTTTGCTTTAGTGGGAACTAATCTTTTTTACTTTTATTTATTTGTTTGTTTTTTGAAACAGGGTCTCGCTATGTGGTTCTGGCTGGTCTTGGGCTCACTTTGTAGCCCAGGCTGGTCTCGAACTTGCACTGATTCGCCTGCCTCAACCTTCCGAGTTTGGGGATTGTAGGAGAGTGACAGGACGCCTGGCTTAAACTGATCTTTTTTTAAGTGCTAGTATTTTCGTAGGATTATTTTTTCTAGTGTGTGGTTATAGGGCTGTATGTATTTTAATTGGTTTGTTCCAACTAAACTTTTTTTTAAAGAATGTTTTAATAATCCTTGTTTTAACTACATCTTTGCAGAAGTATTTCTGAGGCTCTGTCTGATTCCTGGGGGGTTTTGTGTACTTCCTTCACCGGCCTCCAGGTGGCAGAAGCGGCAGCTGCCCGCTTGGATCTTGGGGCTTGCTGTCGGGCGGGTTCTGCTGCGTCTGAAGGCAGGTTGGGCCGCCTGCTCTCCTGGTGTTTTTCTCTCGCCTTCTCTCCGTTGCTTCTTGGTTTTGCCCTCCAACCATTCTCACTTAAAAATCTAGCTTCAAGAACAGAAGGGTCATTCTTTCCTCCTCTGCCCTGAGCTCCGAGCACCTGCTATTTGGACGTTTTCTTTTCTTTTTTTAATTTAAGGAGAAAAAGAAAGAAAAACGGAAAAGCGGTACAAGTTATACAGAATTTAAGAAAAAATAAACAATAGGAAATCACTAGTTAATAGATTACATATTGTTATCTTAGAAATAGTTGTTCAAGTTACAAAATTAAAGCATATAAAGTGGACTTTCAAACAGTGAGACTGCAAACAGTTCTGTTCAATGATCCAACAAAACTCAGTAATATGGTTATCTATCTTATACACTTAAATATATATGCAGTTATATCCTTTAGGGCACTTTCTTTTCCTTTCTTTTGTACAATGACAATTACACATTTTGGGTTTTATTACTGCCACAGTTCTTATTACTTTTTTTTTGAAGAGAGTAAAACCAAATGTGACATACCAGGACAGAGTCAGTCAAATCAAAATGATGGACATAATAGATAATGAAAAACAAAATACAAGGTGATCAACAATGGTTACCATACTGCCTCTTGCTATCTTTAAAAGAATTAGCTATATCATCAGTTATAATAAAATTGAACAAAACAGTAAAGAATAAAACCAAAACATTGGAGACATTACAGGACTTTAAAAGAAGATAATAGTCAACCAGAATGGGTGTCATAATGAATCTTATTGTCTTTACAGTTGTTGCCTATACTTTCGAACTTGGTACTATCAATCAATGTAGAATAGAGGAAAATCAGTCAAAGCAAGATGGTGAGGGCTATACAGGGTTTCAAATCAAGTTAATAGGAAATCAAAGTGGGTTACTATAATGTATCCTGCTATTTTTTTATTTTTCCCTTAATTAAAAAGATAACAATAAAAAAAGTAAGTAAATAATTTTTAAAAAGGAGACTGAGATAACAGAGGGCATAACAACAAAACAGCGCAGGTCAAAGCATAACCATTTAAGCAAAATAGTGTTTCACCACAAGATATTCTGACATAAAAGTGGTTACCATAGTGTCTCTTTCCTTGAAATCTTTGAGTATAACTTCGTATACTATAGCACCACACATATCAAGACAATGTAAAACCATTCAAGGGAATGACAGTATTACAGGATATTTAGAACCAACTATCAGAAAATGAACAATGGTTTCTGTATAATCTCCTTGTATATAAAAGTTTTTGCTTATATTATCACATGTAATAAAATCCAATAAGATACAACCTGTTAAGACCGATGGAGACAGAAGAATAAAAGCTTGATGGGACTTCAAAGCAAGATGATACTAAATCAGCACTAGCTATTATGATGTCTTGTTTTCTCCAAAATAGCTGCTCATACCATCCAATCTTCTCTGCCTCATTTCTGTTGAGCTCTTTTTCTGTTGTTTGTTGTCAGTTTGTCTTCTTCATTTCGCTTTCTGCCCCATTCATTGTGGCCTCTCTGCTACTGTTTCTGAAGTCTTGGTATTTTCCTTTTTTAGAATATCCTGCAGTATTCTCTGTAGAGTTGAATTGGTGGTTGCAAATTCCCCCAGTTCCTCTTTATCCTGGAAGCACCTTGTTTTTCCATCAATTTCCAGGGACAGTTGTGCAGGATATATCAATCTTGGCTGGAGGTTATTATCTTTCAAATCTTGAATTATTTCCCCCCACGTTCTTCGTGATTTGATGGTTTGTGCCGAGAAGTCTGCTGTAATTCTGATGGGTGTTCCCTTGTAAGTGATGTTTCTTGTCTCTGATGGCTTTTAGTATTCTGTTCTTATATTGGATTTCTGGAATTTTGATTATTATATGCCTGGGTGTAGCTATGTTTGGGTTGTATGTGGCTGGGGTCCTGTATGCCTCATACATCTGAGTATCTTTACCTTTTGCTAAATTAGGGAAATTCTCCTGGATTATTTCTGCGAGTAGCTTTTGTAGTCCATTTGTTTGTGTCCCTACTTCTTCTTTTATGTTCTTAATTCTTAAGTTATAGATCTTCTTATCATCTTCTAGCCTTTGTATTATTGCTGTTTGTTTTCTTGTTATTTTTAAGAAGTTTTTCATTTCATGCTCCCATATTACAAATCTGCCCTCCAGTTCAGATAATCTATCCTTAGTTTCTCTCAAGCTGTTATACCAGCTTTCAATAGAGTTTTTAGTTTCCTGGTAATCTCTTTGAACCTACTTCATGTATTCTATGTTTTCTCTACTTTCTCCATCAAACAATTCTCCCCTTTTTTTTTGTTCTTCCATTCCACCATCTGTTTTTTCTTGGGCAATGCTTAGCAGTTCTCTAACTATTCTACTTATATCTTGCTTTATTTCGTTAAATACTTCATTTTTAAACTCTTCCATGAGGCTCTGGAGATATCGCTTTATGTCTATTGGTGCCGTGTCTGATATTGCATGTTTTCTGTCTTCCTTTGTGTTTCCCTTTCCTGGATCAGTGTTCTCAGGATTGGGGATTGAGGACCCTTTCTTGTTGCTTCCTCTTCCCACACTTTTTGTTCCTTCCATACAAGTGAATGTAGGAGGCCCAATTTTTTTCTCTTTGTTGGTTACAGTTTGTTTGAATTGTGCCAGCTAGGTGTTCCCGCCCACTGCAGTGTACTAGGGAGACACAGACCTTGGCAGCCTATGCTGGGCCCATCCCTCCAGGTCAACCTACCAAAGGCTTCACCACTAGGGTGCACCTCCAGGCGCTGGGACCTGGTTTGGGCTAGCCCACTGGGTCTTAGTTAGCAGCATCACGCAGGCCAGGCACTCCCCTCCAATCCCACTTGAGAGGGGAATATGCAGCTAAAGTCACTGCAGTGTCCTGTTCTGGCAAGCCTGCCTGCTCCCAGAATGTCCTTTGCTGGAGCCTCCTACTCTATGAAAGGATCCCTGTTCTGCTCACTCACCACAAGTCAGTGTAGGGCTCCCTGCTAGTCCCGCTTTCAACTCCATTCACAGATTCCCACTCTCAGAGCTTTGGGGCATCTCTCTCCCTGCCCTGCAGATTTGGCCGCAGCAGCGGCAGCAGGAAGTTCTAATCGCGGCTTCCAGTGGTGCAGGTTCTAGCTTCCGCGCTGAGATTTTATCTGTTCCTGTTATAGCACCAGGATTGGATTTCCAGTTGGTTTCTCTTAGCTTAGTTTATTCCTCGGTCGGCAGGGTGTATCTCCCCTTGCTTAGGACTCCTCGTACCACACCATTCCTGGATTTTAAGCGGGGAATCTCAGAGAGCCTCCATAGCTGCTGCTGTCTATTCGCCATGTTCTCCCAGAAGTTTGGACATTTTCTTTGAGGAGCTCACTCTTACCAGGCTTTGGGGCTGTGGGTGACACACAGGCGGCTCCTCCTAAACCTGCCTCTCCACACGGCCTTCCCCAGGCACTGCTGGCCACACTCTGCCGCCCAGAGTGCCTGGCCGGTTCCCTGCCTAAGGCCCAAGCGCCAGACCCGAGCACAGGAGCAGCCTCTGTTTCTTCAGAACCCTTTACTTTGTCCCCATAAAAATTTTCCTGTCTGTAAAGTAGCACACCTTTCTCTAAAAAGCCTCCAGCACTGTCTGGGCCAGGATCTGTCCACGTCCCCCACTTCCAGGACACCCTTAATCTGCAGCTCCTGAATGGTCCCCAAATCCCGGGTGGTGGAGGCAGCCTAGTGGAGCTGGGAGATCTTGGCTTTGTTTCTTGACTCTTTTATTTTGAGAAGTTACAGAACTTAACTACTAGGAGCCTCATTTTTCTCATATATAAAATGGGAATAAATTTATAGCTCACACAGATATTGTAGAAATTAAAACAATACCTGTGAGATAAACGTTAGCAAAATGCCTAACAATAGTTCTGTGCCTGGCACACATTAAAGATCAAATGATCTCAAGTACTATTAAGACTGTTTGGAGTTTTCACTAAATTATTCTGAGTTTGATTTCCAGTCCCAAAAACCAAAACAAACGAACAAAAACATTTCACCGAATTACTTAATAAGTATCGAGGGGCAGAGGGAGCCTAGCAGAGAGACACATGTGACCGAATACAGGTGTAATACAATGTTAGGCCCTAATCCCATAAGAAGAGGTCAGAGGAGGGTGGTGGTAGTCTTCTCGGAAGCCGTCCCTGGGCAGATGCCCCACAGCAAGGTTGGAGGAGCCCGAGAGCATCTTGGGAAAGCCCTGAAATGGCCCAGGTAAAGCGGCTGAGGCAGGAGCATTCCCGGCTTGCGGGCACAGCGAGTCCTGAGGAGGGGCAGGGCTGGGTCACAGGCCCGAGGGCTTGTGCAAGCACTGTGAAGTTTTCATCACACTCGGCTGGGTTTGCAGCAAGCACAGAAATTTCAGTTCACAAATCAGAGTCCAAAAGCAGCCACTGTCATTTTCTGTCCTAATTTTGGTTTCTGTCTCCAGGTCCAGACTTCTTGCTGGCTGAAAACCGGTCCATTCCAGGCCCTGTCGGTCCTCTGCTCTTCAGGGTAGCGGCTGAGTTCTGAGATGCTGGGGGACCACAGCCTCCACTGCCAACTGTGCTTCGGCCCTGCCTGGTTCTCAGCTGTGGTCATCTGTCGGGGCACACGTCCTGGCTGGCCCTGGTCACAATCCCTTGTGACACTATGTTCCACTGTTGCCTTTGCATAACCCTTGTTTAGTGGGACTTCTTGTCCAGCTCTTGAGGCCTTCAGAGGGGGGGACAATTAAAAAAGTCCGGCTGTTCTTTTAACATGCAGGGGGCTCGGCAGGCTGCCCAGGCCCTCTCTACCCTGTAGCACCCAATAGGCCCGAGTGCTGGCCCAAACAGAGGGCAAAGTAGCAGGAGTCAGCGTGACGCCGGCTACTGGCCTCTGAGGGAGCTGCCACGATCCGCCTTGCTCAGTCTAAGCTGCTCCCGGCTGCCCTAGATTCGGTGGTGAGCGGCCATCTTCTTCCTCTGGATAACACACGTCAGCTCTCTTCTTCGTGCTGACACGAGTCGTGCAGGGCGCTGGCGGGAAGGGCGGCAGGCAGCCGCTCTTTCCGGATCTGCATCTGCACCAAGGCTCTTGAATTTGGAAGGAAACCATGGAAACCTCTGCACTCCAGCAGCCTGGTGGAGGTGACAGGACTCGCATCCAGTGACCTGCGCAAGGGTGGTCACAGGACAAAGAAAAAACTCATCGTGGTGAAATACTGGCTAACATTTCACAACAGCGGATTACCACGTGGGTAACTATTTGAACTTTCTAAATGTACTCGGTTGAGGAAAGGATAGGAACACGCAAGAAGACCGCCCACAAGTACATCCTTGTGGACTGCGTCGGATGGAAGGACTCTAAAGGACTCCTCAAGACTGAGGGAGCCCTAAGGAAGAGCCCAGCGGAAGGGGAGTGCCGGGGATCTCCTCTAAGGGCGGGACTCAGACCTCACCCGGGCACACGTGCCCGCAGGCCTTAAGGAATGACAAAGCTGGCTGTCCAGTCACCAGCCCAAAACTGCGAGCGGGAAACCATGCCTGGGAAGGACCATGGGAAACAGCTTCCCAGGATGCAATGGGCTGAGGCGGGGTGGCCTAAGGACCCCTGGGCCCACCCGCAAGGACACCAGGAAACTCCACACAAGTGAGTTTGTGAGTGTCTATTCCCCAGCAGGGAGGACCCATAAAAGAGAAACAGAGGCACAAAGGCCAGAACCAGGAGAGGCCCCTTCCGCCTGCAGTTCCCCCCCAGTGCCCTCCACTGACAACATCCAACATGACGCCCGTGGCAAGGAGAAATCCAGGTCCCCTGACACAGGGAGGCGACAAAAGGAGAGGCTGGCGCACAGAGACCACAGACGGGTGGCTGATGTGGCAGTGGAGGCTCACTGTAACCATGGGTGTTACCGGTCTCGGGAACAGGGTGCTGCAGGTCGAGAGCCATCTGAGGCTCAAGATGGCGTCAGTTATGCCAAGCACTGTGGCAGGTGGTGGCGATACAGTAAAGGAAGATGCCAGGCAAGAATCTCTGCCCTCTTGGACCTCACGTTTGGGGCAGGGACAGGCATAAATTGACAGGCAATTGTCAAGTAAACAACAAAAAGGACACAGATGGAAACTAGTGGTGTCAAAAGAAACAGGGGCCATGGTAGAGAAAAAGGGACTCTCTTTTGAAATATTAAGACTTCTTTGAGGTGGTGACAAAAATTGTGAATCTTTGTGAAATAAGCAAAAAATAAAAATAAAAAAGATGGGGAGTCTGGATCTCTTGTACAGTGTGCTCTTCAGGCTGCTTTCTGCTAGTCACTGTCCTTGAGCTATGCTACAACTCTAAATTGCAGATGAATGACTGTAATACGAAGGAATTTGGTCTGTGGACATGCAAGAGAATGCTGTCCTGTGGAAGCGGAATTGGTTTCCCTTCCTCTGCTCCTCTGTGGAAGAAGCCAGCTCTGCATATATTAAGTGAAGTGAGTTCATTAACAACATAGGAATCCAAGCAGCCAAATTGATAAATTTGGAATTTAATTAGCTGAGCTCAGAGATCATTCTTGTAGACACCTGTTTGAGTCCCACTGGAAAGTTACAAAGCTTTTAAACACAGAACCACAAAAAGACATCCTGTTGGAAACAATTTAGCTAGAATCTTACATTAATCTTTGGTTGACACCTGTATCCTGCTTCTTCGTTGAGCAGGTTAATTTTTTTCCTGTGGGTACAGCTCATTTTGCTTTTCTCATGGGCTTGTACCCTGAGTAATTTTCTATTTTCCTGGGTTAATACAGGACACTAGTGAAATGCAGGGCTCAAGATGGCGTCAGTTACGCTACAACGTTAAGCAAATTGATTTTAACATTCCTGATGGCCAGTCTTATGTCTGCTTTCTGTTACTATAATGTAATACCTGACACCGGGTAATTTATAAAGAACAGAGGTTTTTTAGCTCATGGTTCTGGAGCAGGGAACTTCAAGATCAAGCAGGCATATCTGATGGGGCCTTGTGCTGGTTTATAACCTTGTAGATGGCATCACATGGAGGGGTGCATGTGAGAACTGCAGGCGGGCACACTGGAGACACAGAATGGGACAGGACCACACTCTCAGGGGAACTGCACCAGCCCCTGCAATAAGCATGCAGCTTCACAACCTAACTACCCCTCAAAGGCTCTGGACCTCTCGGCACTGTTACACTGGGGACCGAATCTCAACATGCATTTTATGGACAACAAACCAAGTAGAACAGGGAGCAGCATGGCCTGCGTACAAAGCTGCTCCTCAGGCTCTCCTTGTCACCCCTGTGGCCTCTCAGGGTGTCCCTGTTAATGAACTAGGTGAAATCTTTAACATGCGTTTATTATATAGTCACACAAGAGCCATAACTTACCTTAAAAATGATCATCCTCTGACATATTTGACTTCAGTCCCCTCAAAGACTCTAGTTGGGGGACACTCAATCAACATTCATATCATACCAGGCTGAATGAGCCATAGGGTCATCTATTCATGATCTGTGTGCTGATAACACATACCGAAAATCACATCTGTAAGAGACCATCCAGAGAGAACAAGCCTCCAGCTTAGATGCAGACACAATTTTATCACAGCTGAGTATGAAGTTTCCTAACAAGGAGGAGGGAGCTGCCCTGTGGAGGCCTGCTCGGGCCTTGCCTGCGACCATCTCTCAGTTCGGGGAGCGCCACCACCACTGCTGCCATCTGGGGGAGGGGTTGGGGGCCTGTCTAGGCCGCGCAGGTGACCTTCTTTCAGCCTGGGGAGCTTTGCCACCAAGGAGGTGGATGCCTGCACAACAGCCGATCCCCAGGAGAATTTGAGATCCTTGCTCTAGGTGGTTGGGGACTTGCCTGGCTTGTGGCCATACTAGATTGGGCTTGGTGGGATTCGGGCCTGCCTGGACCACATCTGGTGGCCTTTTTTTGGTCTGGGGAGCTTTGCTGCAGGAGCGGGGAGCTGCGTGGCTTGAGGAGGCTTTAGGCTGCCTGAGCCTCTCCTGGTAACCTTCTTTTAATCTGGGGGTCTCGCTGCCCCAGGAGGGAGCTACACTACCAGAGGAGTTCCAGGAGCCCAAGACATAGGAGACAATTTCCAACATGCCTAGGGGAAGCTTTGAAACAACACCTGAAACTTGGAAATATAGAAAAATGACAAAACGAAAGACCAAAATGCAATCTCAAACATCCAGCCCATCCCAAGAAAGCCTAGGAGCCATGTACATAGAAGAAAACATATGCCATACAGTTGAAATACCTGAAATAATAGTAACTGAAATAAAGAGGCAACTCTGGGAAGCTTTAAAGGAATCCAAACTAGAAATAATCTCCCAGGTAAATGAAGCAATGATAAAAATAATGAAAGAGATGCTAAACACATCTAAAGAAGACAGAGTTAAAAATTAGAGGAACAAAACAAAAAGATAGAAACCCTGGATGAACAATATAAGAAACAAACAGAGTACATAAACTAGATTCAAAGAGATATACAGAAAATAAAAAACTCCATTGAAAGTTGTCAAAACCACCTCAACAAAAGTGAAGATAGGATTTCAAATCTCAAAGACAAGATTGAAGCTAGTGAACAAGAAAGGAAAGATCTCTTAAAAATAGCAAGGAATCAGGAAATAACAATCCAACAGCTGCAAGATGACTCAAAGAAAAATAACGTAAGATTGATAGGGATAAATGAAAAAGAAGGGGACATCACAAATGATATCAAGAGACTATTTACAGAAGTAATAGCTGAAAATTTCTCAAACATGAGAATGGAAACTGACATTAGGATTAGTGAAGCACATAGAACTCCAAATAGCCATAACCAAAATAAAACTACACCTAGACATATAATAATCACCATGCCAGGAATCCAACATAAAAATAGAATATTAGGGGCTAAGGATTTAGCTCAGCGGCATAAGTACCTGCCTTGCAAGCAGGCAGTCGTGAGTTCGATCCCCGGTACCGATAAAAAGGAAAAAGAAAAAAATAGAATATTAAAAGGCTGCTAGAGAGAAGAGACAGATCACCTATAAAGGAAAGCTTATCGGAATCACAGCAGACTTCTCAGCACAAACAGTGAAGTCAAGAAGAGCATGGAGTGAAGTATTTCAGATCCTAAAGGAAAATGATTTTCAACCTAGGCTGATGCACCTTGCAAAACTGTCCTTCCAAATGGATGGAGAAATAAGATACTTCCATGACAAAGAACAGCTAAAGAACTTCACGAACACCAAGCCAACCCTGCAAAGAATACTGAAAGACAGTCTAGATACACATAGGAAAAAACCACTAAACAAGGCTGACAAACAGAATGGAAAGATAAAGATGCAACAGCAAAAAGATAACAGGTCAACAATAAATCAACATATAACAGTTACAACCCTTAATGTAAATGGTCTCAATTCACCAATTAAAAGAACAGATTGGCAGAATGGATCAAGAAACAACATCCAACCATATGCTGTCTACAAGAAACCCATCTAACCCAAAAGGAAACTCACAGTCTGAAAGGATGGAAAACAATACTACATGCAACAGGAACCCCCCAAAAAGCAGGGGTAGCTATTTTGTTTGCAGACAGTGTGAACTTCAAACCAAGAATGATCCTAAGAGACAAAAAAGGTCATTACATACTGGTTAGGGGAAAACTTCAAGAGGAAGAGATAACAATCTTAAATATATATGCACCAAATTCCAGAGCACCTAGTTATACAAAGCAAGTATTAATAGAAAAGAAAAATCAAACAAACAAGACCACAATTATAACAGCAGACCTTAACACACCACTGACACCAAGGGACAGATCAATCAGACAGAAAATCAGCAAAGAAATAACAGAACTGAATCACACTTGTGAACAAATGGACTTGATAGACATATACAGAATGTTCCATCCAACAACATCAGAATACACATTCTTCTCGGCGGTACATGGACATTCTCTAAAATAGACCACATACTAACCCACAGAACGTATTTAAATAAGGGCAAAAGAGTTGAAATTATCCCATGCGTGTTATCAGATCATAGCACCATGAAACTAGAAATTAATGATAAAAATAACTAGAAAAATCCCACAAACACATGGAAATTGAATAATATACTCTTGAGCAATCAGTGGGTCACAGGGGAAATTAAAGAAGAAATTAAATAATACCTACAAGCAAACGAAAATACAAATACAACTTACCAGAGTTTGTGGGATGCAATGAAAGCAATCCTCAGAGGAAAATTCATTGCACTGAGTTCCCACATCAGGAAAACAGAATGAATACAAATAAACAACCTGATACTACACCTCAAACATCTAGAAAAAGAAGAGCAAGTCAAGTCCAAAGTCAAAAGAAGAGAGGAAATTATAAAAATCAGAGTAGAAATTAATGCAATAGAGACTAAGAAAACAATCCAAAGAATCAATGAATCAAAGAGTTAGTGCTTTGAAAGAATAAATAAAATTGATAAGCCCCTAGCCAACCTAATTTAAAAAAGGAAAGAAAAAGCTCAAATTCATGCAATAAAAAATGAAAAAGGTGAGATCACTATAGACTCTGTGGAAATACAGAAGGTCATCAACACCTATTTCAAAAACCTCTACTCCTGTAGGTTCGATAACACAGAAGAAATGGACAGGTTCCTAGAAACATATGAAGTACCAAAGCTAGGTCAAGAAGATGTAAAACTGTTGAATAACCCAATCTCTATTAATGAAATTGAAAATGTAGTTAAGGCCTTACCTACAAAGAAGAGCCCAGGCTAAGACGAATTCACTGCGGAATTTTACAAGAAATACAAAGAAGACTTAATGCTGACACTCCTCAAACTCTTCAATGAAATCGAAAGGGAAGCAATTCTTCCTAAGTCATTCCTGGAAGCAAATATTACTCTAGTACCAAAACCTGAGAAAGACCCAACTATAAAAGAGAATTACAGGCCAATCTCCCTAATGAACATAGATGCAAAAATCCTCAATAAAATATTGGCAAACGTGATGCAGCAAATCATCAAGAAGATTATACACCACGACCAAGTAGGATTCATCCCAGGAATGCAGGGATGGTTCAACATATGTAAATCAATAAATGTAATCCACCATATCAATAAAGCCAAAAGTAAGAATCACATGATCATTTCTATAGATGCAGAAAAAGCTTTTGATAAGGTCCAATGTTGGGAGCCGCAGCCCCGAGCCCGGTCGCCTCACTTGGCGGACGTGAGGCCTGTAGTAAAGAGTAAAGCCTGAGGTAGATTACCCCCCCCATCGAGCACGTTAGTTTCCTGCTTACCGCGTAAGCAACCCGCTCAACAATATAGTCTGCCTGGCAACTGATGATGTTAGCCAATCAGCTTGCCTTGCTTACTTTAACATGATTGGACACTGTATCCGTATATATACTGGTGCCACCCCTGGGGGGGAAGAAGAAGCCCGGAAGTAGAAGCCCAGAAGGAGCCGCGGGGAGCGGACCAGAGGAGGCTTCGGCTGGGAGCGATCCCAGGGCAGGCTGTACGGAGAAGGAAAATAAAAGAAAAGGTTGTCCACTGCCAGGCTTTGTCGTGTGTCCTTCCTGCCGGCCGGGAGCGGACATCGACATTTGGAGGCCCGCACGGGGACTGATCACCCCCGAGACGTGACAGCGGACAACGCTCCAGTACAGAGCTGCGAGACAGGTGAGTTGGGGATAAGCCTGGGCTCTGGGTGGCGCGCACCTACAGGGCTTTTAGACTCCCCTCAGGCTCACGCGTAAGTGGCGGATTCCTTGGGCCTCACGCGGTGAGTAACATATTAAAAGATGGGAAACATGCTAGGTAGCAACACTAAGAGCGAGGGTGGTTGTGGAGAAAGCTCTCAAGAGCTTACAAAAGTACGCAGGGTATTTGAGCAGGCCCAGTCGGGGAGCTCCTGAGAGGGGCCCGTCAAGGGGAACAAAGATGCTAAGGAGAAGGACGGGGCTCTAGCCTCGGAGTCGTCTGACTCCGAGGACGAGGGAAAGTTGAATGGCAAGGAGGCCAAAGAGACCAGCTGTCAGGAGCCTAAGTCGCTCGATAAGGAGTCGCAGGGTTCTTTCCCAGTAATTCAGGGTACCACAGAGCCATTTGTTGACTTTGTGGCCCGAATGCAAGATGCTGCCGATAAGATATTTTCTGATCCGGGAGTGGCTCGACCGCTGGTAAGGCAGCTGATTTTTGAGCAATGTACAAAGGAGTGCAAGGCAGCGATAGCTCCTCATAAGAACAAGGACCTCAACGCCTGGATTAGGATATGCAGAGAGATAGGGGGGCCACTCTCCAACTCGGGAGTGGCTGCTCTCCTGGCCGCGGCTGTACAGCAGAGGGGACCTCGCGGGTTAGAAGGGGAATGTAAGGCTAAAGGGTGTTTTGCCTGCGGGGAGCCAGGACACATTAAATGTCATTGCCCAAACAATACAGATGCTAGGCCTCGCCCTAGGAATGAAGAACCATATGTTTGTGGGCGATGCAAGAGGGGATCACACAAAGCTGAGGAGTGTAGGTCGGTCTTTGATGCTCAGGGCAAC